TGACATTAAAAACACATTATTTTTGACATACTTTCCATACCAAATTATGTTATAACCTGTAAAAATTACCCTTTTAAATTTATTACAGTCGAGAATGCAAGAATGCTTTACCAGTATAAACTTCAACTTAGTTGCTAATGTACAATTTTTTGTAAATTGAACCTTGTATTATCCAGAAACCTGTATAAACCAGACCTTCAACTACAGACCCCAACGAAAACACATGTAGGTCACAGTGACTTACATTTGGCCTTAATTACGACACTAGCTGCAATCCATAAATGTGCCTGCAAACCATATATATGGCAACTCTGGGATCCAGGTCAAATATTACAAGGGATTTGCCTTGTAAAACTGTTTCACATGATCGGGGTCAGAAGTCAAAATATAAGTTAAGGTAAAAAATGTGTGTTTAATCTTCATATATCCTATTTAATAACTTCAGGTGAAATACTTGTAAGAGATGCCCAGGACAAAGTGCTATAATAATTAAGGACAGTGGTCAAAAAATATATCAAAGTGACCTACTTTTCTGCACACAACATTCTACCATCCAAAGATGTACAAGTACCTGCAAGCTGCATACCAAAGTTTTTAACTTAGGGTAGAATATTACGGGAGATTATATTATGGTCTGTAATAACTGTTTCCAATGGTTTGGTTCAGAGGTCAAGATGTAAGTCCGCCTACACAACACTGCCATATATAATGTGTACTTAATTTGGTAAACTCCAGTTGAAACTATACAGGAGATAAGGCTTAGAATAACTGTTACATTGATCGAGGTCAGAGGTCAAAATAATAGTAGTCACAGTAACCTACATTTGGTACTCAACCATCCCAGTTGCCTATCAAATTGTTGTAACTCCAGGAGAAATAGTACAGGAGATGTATATGGCGCTGACTAATTTTTATAACACTGGAGGTCAAAAGTCACAATATAGATCACGGTGACCTAGCTATTTTCAGTATTTTCACAACATTCTACCATCCTAAGAGGACCTACACACAAATTTGGTAGTTCTAGGTGAAAACGTAATGGTAAATAATCCCTAAACTTTTGGACAAAAGGACATACAGATTTTACCATTACAGAATATTGAAAAAGGAACGTAAACGTTAGTGTTTTCAAGTAGTATTACATGTACCAAAAACAAATAGGTGTGCGTGGGAGTTCAGGCTGCTAAAAAGTTCAAAATTTATATCAGAGTACAGTTGTGTATTCACAACAGTAACACCAAGTAAGTCTTGAAAAATAACTTACCTTTTCTGTTCCTTAAAGGTGTTCAAAAGGTTTAAATAGATAGGATCTAAATCTAAATGCAACAGACCAATGAACCAAAGTCAACATTCACAAGTCTTTGTTCCTATATCTAACTCAAACTGTTAGTGGGAGTGTACTTGCCTATAATTTGTATATATGTACATGGTGAACCAGGATTTTTGAGGTCCAGACAGGAGTGGTCAAGTGTGACAATCACTAGAACGACCATCTTTCACTGTCATATACTGTATTTTTTAGTGCATTTTTGTATGAACTTTAAATGTATTTTTTGTCAGAAAGTGATCATCGGCAAATGCTTCTTCTGGGACTAGAAATAGAGTTTTCATAGTATATTGTGTCAATTTTTATCTTTTATTTTTTAAATTTTATTTCATGCTAAAATAATTGAAACTTGACAAACTATTACATTTAAAATGTGGTTATCAAAAGAATAATGATTGTCTTATGATGGTTTAAAAGAGTTTCAAAAATACTGTACAGATCGATATAAGGTTTCTAAGATGTCGCTACCAATATATATCCACTTACCTAAGTCCAAAGTTTAACTGCAGATTGCTTTTCCATACAAGAACAATGTAGCAGGAAAATTGGGCTATTTCATGTACAATATTTTTTCACTAGTTGTAAAACAATATTTTGTTTTCAACTATTATTTTTTTAACTTAAGGTTAGTTTCCTCTGATGTCTCTACAAGTTGAGTAAAATTTATTGGATATTTCCAATAAAATGTCAGAAAGGACAGGTTTACAATACTTTCAATTTAATGATCATATATAGGTTATTTTATTTGACAAAACATACAAATGTACATTGACTAATGGTTCCTGATATATTTATAATCTAGTGACACAATTGGTTACCATTATAACTTTAAGTATAAGGGATCAGGTTTCATTGCTCCAACAAATTTCATCGACTATTTTTGTTCCTACAAACTAGCTACTGTTAGGTGAGGTTCAAGTCAACAGAATGTAGTACCATAAACTGATTTCAACTGTGACAATTCAGGGCTAGACAATGATATATAAATATATGTAACGGTAGTCTGAGACTAGTAAAATCTTTAAGCTAGTGGTTCTAAAAATAGCCAAATTCACTAGTCAAAATTTGATATTACTTGCAATTTGAATCATATTGGGTTGGTGGAAATTGTATCTGGTCTATATATAGCTAGTCAAATCAGAAACTATTAGCCCAGCTGACTAGTGTTTTTGAACATTCATTTCTAGCCCTGAAAACAACTAAAGCTAACAGTGACAACAGTGGCAGATACGTATATACTTGTACTGTATTTTATTATCACCTGAAAAATCTGCCAGTACCAGTTCTCTTCACTATAGTTTCTTCAGAGGTCTAACTACACATCTTTGCATATTGGGAAACTGTTTATTTTTTATTTTTATATAAAATAATTTCCCATTCAAAAATGCTGCTATTGGGCAGTTAAACATAATCCAAATAAATCTGTGAAGTATATACAGTAAAGGATCAGTGTCCAGTTCTTCAAAAGTTGATAAGCTTATTTACTGATTAAAGACTTGTTCAACCTCTAATAATTTGATCAATATACCAGGTAAAAACACGTATTTTTATGTAATTTTAGCCTTCTAAAGCTTTGTGAAAATGTTTAACTCACTTAGTGGTTGTGTTTTGAAGATAACCAAAATAAAAAAGTACTAATGCTCATTATGGATAAAGCTGATCATGATTAGCTTTGGAACAACTATAGGCCCTGGGCTTATATACAAGCTGATCTTGCATTGTTTTGAGTATTTAGAATGGCTCATTATTTACGGTAAAATGAAACAAGGCATCACAAGTGATACAAATCCCCTCACATTCACACATTGTGACAGAAGTAAGATATGTAAGAGGAAATGAGGTCGTTAGAGCAATGACACAATTGTTTTTTCTCTAAAAATAGTAAGTGACCTTGACCTTCAACGTAGAAACCAGAAACGAAATTTTGTTGATGGCATTCCCATACCAAACACTTGTATGACGTTTCATTAAATTCTGTTAAGGAATGAGGTCAATAGAGCTATGACAAAGGTGGTTTTTTTTGAAATAGTAACATTGACCTTGACCTTCAATGTAGAAACCTGAAATGCCAACTTTGTCAAGGTATGTCATACTAAACACTTGCATAGGTTTCATGTAATTCCGTTGAGGAATGAAGTCACTAGAACGATGACAAAGAGTGTAACGTACTATATGTACGGGCGGAATCCTATATCCCCTCAAACTTTTACTGCGAGGGGATAATAAGCTTGACACAAAACAATGAGGTGACATGCATGCACTTGTGAATATCACTGCATGTACTATTATAAAGTAATTAAATGACAAATATATAAATACATCATGAATATTTTCTGCCGAAAACTTCGGACACCACAAATTCTAAAGCTGTGGAAAAATTCATAACAATAATTACATATGTCAAATTCCTGAAATCCCGGATGTTTCATTCAATATTGTCTTTTTTTATTTTATCAACATTATCAGCTTATGTTCTACTGAAAGTCAACAATCCTATTAAAGTGAAATTCTTATCTCACTGGCGTTACATATATGAAATAGCTTGACATTTACGGTAAAAATGTGTCCATTTCCATTACTGCTATTATAGTTGTCATGATAAATATACCCGGAAATCCTGTTAAAATGCAAAATTTCTGCAAGTAATTTTGATGGATTTTTCAGACAAGTCTTAAGCATCATTTTCAAAAAATGTTGAGAAGTTCCATTACTTGTACATTAGCCAGAACTCTGAATGTGTGGACAAGTCCCATAGGAAAAGTCTGAGTTCAGGACTCAAATATCTGTGTCTCAACAATCAATGTACCTATATATTCTATATAATTTCCATGGTCACAAGTAAACATCTAAATTAACCCTTCTTTAACTCTGATAGTAGTATGTTTACAATGTGTCACTATTAGTAGTGACATGTATTAGAAAGTTAAGAAAACCTTAATGGGTACAACAATTATTTTTCAGAAAAGTAAATATCAGCAGGTAGAGTTGTTTGTCCGTTTCGTGTGATAAAGAAGATAGGTATATCTGACCTATTGACTCAAGTATTTAATAACATGTAAATATAGATCAGCTTGCATATTAACTGATCGTACACTTCGATACAAATGTAGTCATTCTGTGTTTAAAAAGTCAAAATCAAATCAATATGAATTTAACTTGACTTGATTTAATATGCCAGAATATTTTACCCTGTCATATATACAGCCCAGTGTTAACATACCTGTTGCCATTATAGATCTATAAATAGTAACATTATCCCAACACTGGTTGTTATCAAACAGCTCACTCGGTTATCAAATTCCCTTTTATAGTTACCAAAATCAACATTAACCTGTCTTTAGGAATAAAATATATTCATATTTGAAGAAAAAGCTCACGTTTCACACATGCCAGCAAAACGATTTAGTTCAAAATTGAATTTTTCACCATTAACAATCGATCAACAGCGTTTGTTATTTTGTAAACAAAAAACTTTCAATGAAATGCATAATCCATTTCCATAATATGATTAAATTCTAAGTTATAATTCAATCTGAACTGAATATATCTTTTTACGAGTGGTAAAAATATTTGCATTGAGGATACTTGATGACTTGACAGCAGTCACACACAGTGCTGCTATCCTCATCAACTAGTGAACTAACTTCCGTGTAGGGATCATCGTTTCGCTTACCGATCTTCTGTCCAAAGATTTTATCGAATGTTACTTCCCCAACCTTCGTCAGATGTTTATGCATGACACTTCGGACACTGAAATGAATAAAATGATTTTTAATGTGTAAACAAGGTTAGCAACTGATTCAGAATACACTGTTTCCACGGCATAATAAATAAACAGGATCACATATGATAATCACCCCATTTTGTCGACATTTTCATTTGTATTTTCACTGAACTAAGTCGGATTTTCAAGTGATGGATATTTTACCTTGGATCTGGAAGTATTATTTTCTTGCTTGCTCTGGCCGCTGGAGTATTCTTACTCTTCTCCATAGCCATCAAATAGCTTACATCGGCCAACACGGCTTCGAGGTCCGCCATCTTGTTTTCACCGTAAGCCGATCTCTCCTCTCAAACAAAACCGAAGGAAGGAGGATCTCTCCCAGTTGCGGACAAAAATCACATCAAAATAAGCACACTAACACTCTTCACATCATTAACTTTCTACATGGTAGCTCATGGCATCATAAGAATGCTAGAAATTCACTCTTTCTTGTATAATCCGAGCGAATACACAAGCTATCTCAAAGCCGCATATGAAATGAGGAAAGCGGTGTATATGTAAATATTAATTAGTAGTGTGTGTGTGTATGTGTGTTTAGCGTGCGTGCAAAAACGCATCAAGGCGAATTGAAGATTCAGATATCGTTATTTTTTCGAATGCTTTTAACAATATGACGGATTATTTTCATGTCTATGGCTCCAATATTTTGCTGATGTGTTTATTCAAATGCTATGCATATCATTCACGTAGCCAGCTTGGTAACGACATTCGAAGCGATGTGTGTATCTCGCAGTGACTGAAATTAATGTTAATCTATGCTAATAAGCTAGCCAGCAATATAGCCGCTGCCAAGTAATACGGTCAAGACTAATCATTGTTACATACTTATGGACAGATTAAACCTTCTGAAACACTTAGTCTAGACGAATGCTTTAAAATCCAACTGTATTCGATTTAAAGAAACACAACCAGTCGTAACCTACATTAACCCCATTAAAAAAGGCATGTATAAATTCAAGCACCTGTTCGGAAAGAAAATTGATCAATTAGTAACATGGAATTGCTGCGCGTGCCGGGAGGAGGTATTCAATTAAAATGAATTCAAAGTGCATATATTTGTGTGTGTGTGTGTGTGTATGCCTGTTCGTGTATACATGTTTGTATTTTTTTAGGGAAGCAGCAATCGCACATGTACTTCATGTCATGAATATGACCTTATCCGGACACAAAACTCTTAACAAACAGACAAACAAACAAATAAACCAGAGTACCCAATGACTGTTTACCAACAAAATTCTTTATAAAGCGATACACCTTATTGGTGCTTATGTTACAAATATGCGTTGAATTGCAACTGAAGTTAAACCATACGTTGTTATCTTAAGATATCTAATGACGAACATCTTTACAAAAATATTTCCCTGTGTTACTAAGTTTAGTGTTATTTTCTATACCTAGTAATTGTAATCATTCAAAAATGGAAGTATTTCGGCCATGACATGGGTTTAGCAGTTTTTGACGGAAGAAATAATTCTTTAGGATTGGAAAATGAAATGAAATTCATCTGCTACTTCAGTAGTATATAAATGGGAAATACGCGGTTTAAAAGGTTCGCTTTTATGTATCTCGATCCCTGTTTCAAGACAATGCCAGAAATAAAAAGATACCCTTAGGATAAATTGCATTATTTTAAATTTCAATGGAGTTGGATTCAATAAATAACTTCGTTTACAAGCATAGTGATACAGGTGTCACAGAGAATAAGAAAATGTAATTCATGTTTTGTTTGAACGTATCATTTAAAGACTTTGTGGGACTTTAGGGAGAAAACAACCACAATGAACGTTTAGCAGGTTTTTGCATTCGTCTCCTGTACCAAAAGACTAACAGCGACATTTCCCCGAATTTTACGATTCGGTTCGCTGTGTACATGTGTTAAACGAATATACACACATAACTACGTGAATGTAAGTCTGTCAAGCTAGCACTGGGTACGTGTTGACCTTTCTACAAAAGGTGACACGTCAAATGCGGACAACTACCGTGGAATTAGTTTGCTTAGTAATAACATGCTAAAATTATTTACTTTTGTTTTGAACACCAGATTAGTGCAATGGGCTGACAGTAACAACGTAATTACGGGTGCCCAGTTTGGTTTTCGCCCTGGCTTAGGTACGTAGAATAAACAAGTCGCTTTCTAGTAAGAAACGACTTTACTGTTGCTTCGTAGACTATAGTTAGGCTTTTGATACGATAGAGATATATAAGGTATGGTATAAGATTTCTAAACTTGGAGTCAGGGGTAATTAAGCTTTTAAATGTGATCAAATCTTTATATAGTAAAATAAAATCAAGTGTAACCGTAGATAGGAAGTTATCAATTTTTTTCGATAAGAAAACCGGGGTCTTACAAGGGGAAATTGTCTCCCCGATTTTATTTAGTATGTTTGTCAACGACTGTGAAATGGAATTCCTCAACAGTGGTGTTCAACCTTTAGAACTACAAGAGTTGTCGTTATTTTTACTAATGTACGCCGACGATATGGTGCTTTTCTCGGAAAGTGTTGACGGCCTACAACACATGTTAGATTAATTGTTATTATATGCTAGGAGGTGGTCTCTAACAGTTAACGTTGAAAAAACAAAAATTGTAGTTTTCAGGAAATCGACTGTATTACATGCAAATGAAACATGGCAGTATGATGGCTTCAAGCTTGAGTCTGTAGATTCTTTTTCTTATTTGGGGGTAAAACTCAATTATAATGGTAATTTCAATTTAATGCAGAAACAATTAGCGTCACAGGGTAGGAAAGCTCATTTTTCTCTTAAAAGATCATGTAAATCTATGTTGTTAAATTTCTGCACACTGTTGTCACCTTTTGACACATATTTCGGCAGTGTAGCCAACTATGCTTGCGATGTGTGGGGTTTACACAAAGCGCCCGATATCGAAAAACTACATCTAGTCTTTTGTAAGAATATTTTAGGAGTTCGGAAATCTACACAAAACTCAATGATCTATTTCGAACTGGGTAGATATCCTCTTATCATTTCGAGGAAAATTAGAATTTTGAAGTAGCAACTGTATTTTAATACATGCATGTTATCAAGATATGTACTATGAGTGTGAATCGAACCTACATTGTAAATATTGGGTAGCTTCTGTTAAACAAGAACTATATTCTACTGGTATGTCGGAGTACTGGCAAGCACAGGGTAGCTTCAATACACATGATGTTTTGGTTTTAGCAAAACAGAGATTGTTAGATATTTTAAAAAAAAAAGACTGAGACGTTTTTCTCCACCTCGTCTAAGTGCCGGGTGTATCAACATATTATTGATCATGCCTAACTTCAAACTCACTTAAGTAAACCTATTCTTGTAAAGTACAAAAAAGCAATTGTCAAAATACGACTGTCTTCACACAATCTTTTAACAGAAAATGGAAGGCATAGAAAAAATCCTCATAATTTAAGACTTTGTCCTTTCTGTAAAAATGATATAGAAGACGAATTCTACTTCATTCTAAAATGCTCTTCCTTCAGCGAACTAAGAAGTAAATATGTTAAATTATATTATCGTGTTAATCCCTCTGTCTATAAATTAATCAAATTACTATCAACCGGTAATATCAAAGAATTAACTAACCTGTGTAAGTTCTTATAGCATGCATGTTCACTACGTTCTACTCTGTTGGCTTCTAACTAGTTTGATTTGCAAGCTCTTATATCATAAAAACACCTGTATTTAAATAATAAATTCCATATGCTGATTGTATCTTACAGCCTGTGCTGATTTTGAATGTACATTATGAAATTTTCCTTTGAATCGATGAGATGTACATGCTCAAGATGAAATAAAGAAATTGAATTGAATACACCAAGAACGATTTTAACAAATATCACTCGATAATGTACGGTATGATTATCAGCTGCTTTTTACATACCCTACACTTCACAGACATAACTGACAATTATATAGACAAGCGTTTTATAAACAGACTAATTGGTTTCATAATTCAATTACATATAATTTTCTTGTCCAAATGATTATTTGCGACATTTAGCAAAATAATTTGACATGTGTAATAAGTATGGTATGACGATATCCTGGACTTTCCGAAAGTAAAGACAATTAATTATCTTGTAATAAAAAAAAAAAAATGTAATATTTTTATATACATTGAAAATATATTTTCATTATGATGATAATAATAATATACAACATTTGATAAAGCGCCCTATCTAGCTAATATAAGCCACTCTAAAGCGCTTAACAGTACATAGATATACAATTTTATACATTCAATACAATTAGCATATATATTAATCAATACAATATTGAGGAATTCGCAGGAGCTGCCTTATCAGGCGCTAACTAACAGTCCTATACCACCTGGCTAATATGTCCCTATGTGTGTATGACTATGTGTGTGCTGGAAATGTATTGTGTTCTGTTTGTAGTGGGACCGTGGTTCCAACGGTATCATTTATAGTGCCACCTCACGCCACCTCACTTGAATGCTACAGCACAGATACCGCAACACCCACCCCAGACCATTTTTTTTACTCCACCTGGGTTGTTGGAGTTGTGTGGGCAGAAGAAAAACACTTTCTCTATAATATTCCATGCGGACTTCGGGGATTGAACCCCGGCCGCCTGCTTGGAATGCCGGAGTGTTAACCACTCGACCAATCCGCCCATTATTCGCCATTAGACCAGAAGATTCGATATTTTACGTAACATTCTTTTCCTGTCAAACGCTGTTTTTCATATGCAACACAGGAAGATGGTTTTGTGTGCGTGTGTGTGTGTTTGAAGTTTTGTAATGGTTGCCTGTAGGGCATAAATTGCGTCAACGAATCCCAGTCCATGTCGGACACTGGAGATGACGTCATTAGTTGAGGTCCATTCTAATCTAGAGATTATTTTAACTTCCTGTATTTCCTTAGTAGAAAACAAAATTGATTTCATAGACGACAAATATCGTTATATGGAAAGTTTTTAATTGAATACTTAAAATAATTCACACAATATCGCAAAAAAGGATATTTAAGTATCACATAGGTCTGATAAAGTATAAATTGCCCTGCGCAAAGCGGTTAAAAACTTGAAGCGAAGGTGAAAATTACAATTTACTTTCATATTCCAATGTTCTAAATAAAATGATGAAACGTATTAAAAAATGTTATCTTCCGGTAATGATGTATAACAAATAAATGGAACATCTTAAAGCCAACAGATACATACGTAAAGACTCTGACGATACAGGCAATAAATCTTCAGACTTTTAAAATCAAACAGAAACTTGGTGACCTTAACAAATCTACTACATAATAGCATTACACACGACGCTTTTTGAATAAAAGATATACAAGTAGAAGAAAAATGCAAATCTATATGCTCAGACTATATCAGTAATGCAACCGTTAACGGTATTCTTTAAAGACGCAAGTAAAACATTCCAGGGTGATTGCATATTTTAAAAATTGGAGTCAGATACTGTTTGCCAAAATGTACTACACTACATGATAGAAATGCT